AGTTTTTGGGCACTCTTTTCCCCTTTCGCTATCGCCATTGAACTTCAACTTGATACACGTATGAGGGGGTTTCTAACGAGACTCGCATTACCTTTTAAAAAAATAACTAAAATAGAAAAGATGTAATAAATTGGTGTTTGTCGGTGTAATTTAACCTAATAATAACAACTTATTTTGATATTATCCATTCATATTGGGTTGAATTTGCAAGGCTATGGACTGCATTTTTTTTGCCCAATACCCTATTAGGGTTAATTATTTTGGGTTTTAGGGCGACCCAATTTTTATTTTGAGAAATAAGATAAAAGCTACAGTGTCTCTGGAACTCGTAACCTCGAGTTGTCACCTCTATTAACAATTATAATTTTTTAATGGTCTCTGATGAGTAGGCCCCATATGGGCCATTTTTTAATGCCGTTAATGTGACTCGTCACCTTTATTAACAATTATATTTTTTTAAATTACAAAAAAGTATAATTTTTAAAATTTAAAAATAAAGGAACTCGTCACCACAAGTTCCTTCAAATAAAAAACTAGTCGTTTTGTAGCCGTTGGTCAATGGGAATATGGGCAACGTGCACTTGGAACTCGTAACCTCAAGGTGACAAGTTCGGCGAATAAAATTTTAAAAAAATTAAAAGAAAAATAAATTTATTTATATTTTAAAAAATACAAAGTAAAAAAATAAATTGTTTATAAGAAAATGTATTTCTATTTTCTAAGTTCTTTACTATGCCAAGGAGTTGTTGAATGATAATGGCACGAGGCTTGTTGTGTACGTCGGGGTCGTAGGCCTTAATCGTCGTCGTTGTCATCGTCTTCATCTTCTCAGAAGGTGTACTTAACACACTCTGAGATCCACTTTCGAAATACGGTGATGGGCACATCATCATAGTTATTACTGAATCGACTTGCCTGCTACGTTGTTGATCATATAGGATATAATCCCACTCACCCACAACCGCATGTTCTGTCGAAGATGCTTGAGTATGTTGCGGTGCATCCCATGATCCTCCAACCCAAGTCAGTCGAGTCTTGGTTGAAGTATAATATGGAGGATAGAAACCGAAATTAGCCTGAGATGCATAATAGTAATCTTCAGTTGCAGATGCTGAAGCAGAAGAAGTCGATGACAATGCTTTCTTCTAAGACTTGGACTTGTCTCATGTTGCCTGATGTTGTTCCCATTCTCCCCTCTCTTGCGGTGTCATGAGATATGGTTTCCTATTTTCTTCGTAATTTTGGATATAGGGAGAATGATCAAAATCTAGGTCCAGCGGTGTGATCTCGTAACATGGGAGAACGACTATTGACGTTGATCCCATAACTTGTAGTAAGCGTGCTTCACAAGCCAGTTTTTGGTATGTTTCCTACGTGTATCGATTATATGGAGAACATCCAGATCAACAATTTGTGTAAGAATCGACTGATGCGATTCAAATTGTCGCAATACTCTATCAACGATGTGCCACTTAACAATCGTAAAATGTAATAACGGCGTCGCGACACATCATAAATCCGACCTCTCAAAAAATTATGGCGACAATAATTGGTATATCTCGTCGTTAGCATACGTAAGCCAAGAAAACTGAAAATATTAAATATCAAAGTTAATATATATAAAGTTAAAAAATTCAAAAAAATAATAAAAGAATAAATGTATACCATATATTGATCGACGACATCAATCCTCATTCGTATATCTCGTGCAGTGGTACCCGAAAACTTCATCTCGGTTTTTTTATGTCGCCATATAAAATATTTAAAATTTTAAAAATATTATAAATTAATAAAAAAAATTAAATTAATCAAATTCAAATAAAGTTAAATAAACGAAGTTAAAAATTACCTTGCAGCCTAAGAAAACTCGACTAAGGTTGATGTAATTGGCGTTAAAAACGGGAACTGTTACTAAGCCCAAGACTGTAGCAATATTAGATAGCATGCTACATTAGCTTTTTTACGCAAAACTCCTGGTACAGAAAGGCTAAAATTGTCGAGCCCCAACTGATATTACGACACTCAGCGAAGTCATTCAATATTCACAAACATTGAGTGTTCACCAAATTACCATATTTATCCAATAATAATACCCCTCTAGTCATTATGAGAAGATATATTCGGGACTAAAAAATAACCTCGTCCTCAGTAGAGTTATTCGTCACTTGGAATTCAGACTCCAACCACGTTATTTGTACCTGATAGCCCTCAATGGCCTCGGATGGTGGCATCTTTCCCAAAACTTGATAGACCAACATTGTTGGTCGTAACTGTTCTGCCTCACCACGGAGGCTTCATTCACATGAACACCAAGTTGGTAAGTGACGTCTTCCAAAGTAATCATCGCTTTACCACTCGAGAAATGAAACGTGCATCTTAGGTCGCCAACGTTCGATCAGAACCTCAATCAACGCCGAGTACTGCTTGAAGCCACGTACATATGGCTGGAAATAGACAAGATTGTTGCAGATATATCAACATCCCCTGATCTCTGTATGTTATCTCGTGCTTATGTTCTTCTTCCGACCGGAGTTCGATCGACAAAATATGGACGTTATCCATGCGCAACATTTCTTCTCGAGTAGCCATTTTTCGTGACTTACACAGAAGGTACTATTTTTTCCTTTTTTGGATTTAGGGTTTGGTGAAAACCAAAACCCCAAACCCTATTTATAATCTTAACCTCAACGACTATAAACGGCTAATTAGTTCAAAAATCCGGTCGAACTCGTTATCTCGAGGTGACGAGTTCCAAGTGACTGTTGCTCTGACCGTTCCATCTTCTCGTTGACCAACAGCTACAAAGAGGCTAGTTTTTTTTTATTTGAAGGAACTTATCACCTTTATTTATTTTTTTAAGTTTAAAAAAATATATATTTTTAATTTTTTTTAAATAATTTTTAATAGACTCCTCACCTTGAGGTGACGAGTCACATTAACGATATTAAAATAATAGTCCATCTTAGACCCACTCATCGAGGAGGTGACGAGTTCCAGAGATACTGTGGCTTTTGTCGTATTTCTTAAAATAAAAATTGTGCCACCCTAAAACCCAAAATAATTAACCCGCATGGGGTACGGGCAAAAAAAAACCTATGGACTGCAATTACAAACAGAAAGAGAGTTCATTTAATCAAAACCCAAAATTGAAAGCACAAGGGTTTTAGGTTTTAAAAGCTTTCAATACTCGCCTTTCAGTTATTGTTTGTTCCTGGTTGCCGGCCGCTGCTTGTAGCCCATCTCTGCTTCCAGGCGCCACCTTCCGTGGATTGAGACCTTGGCGTACACTAGCGATCTTTTCTCTTTTGAAGAACCAATTATGCCGAATTAGCCTTTCAAATCAGTCCAGGTCTGCTCAACCTTTTGATTCCTATATTTCTTCTTCAATGATTTGGGATTGATTTATATGTATTGATGTTTCCGAAAAGATTGCTTCTTTTTCTTTTCTTTTTTTTCCGTTTTGAATTTTTGTCTATGCAAGATTTGTTCTTTTGGGTATTGGAGTTTTTCTTGTTATGAATTGAAGAATTTAGTAAAGGTAACATAGTTAATGCCATTAGCATTGTTCTTTTAGATTTTTAGAAGTGAAAAAATGAGAAACTATATTTACGAAAAACCAACGGTGAATATGAAAAAAAAATCGACTTATAGGATTGAACTATCGTATTTGATTTTTACATCCATGCTTATAGGTATTTCTTATAATTTATGATGATGTTTTTTTCCATGAATGTTTTACTTCGAATTTAAATCATAGCTTGATTTTTTTTTTTTTTGTAATTTCTTCTTATTCGGACTCCAACTAGCTTCAGTTAAGATGTCTACAGAAGCACCTGCGACCATGGAGATTGAAACCATGCCTTCTGAATCTAAACCTGAACTAAATAAATTGTCCCTGAAGCCAAAATTCGAGCCTCTTAAGGCTCATGAGATGTCAGATGGTCGAGTCCAGTTCAGGAAGGTTTCGGTTCCGCCTCATAGGTATTCACCTCTCAAGAAATACTGGATGGATATCTATACTCCAATTTATGAACAGATGAAGGTCGACATCCGTATGAATCTCAAAGCTCGGAAGGTTGAATTGAAAACGAGACCTGAGACGCCTGACACTAGTAACCTACAAAAGTGTGCCGACTTTGTCCAGGCTTTCATGTTGGGTTTTGATGTTCCAGATGCCATTGCTCTCTTGAGATTGGATGAGCTATGTGGAATCCTTTGAAATCAAGGATGTCAAAACACTTAGAGGACTTGTCTCGGGCCATAGGAAGATTGTCCGGGAAAGGCGGTAAAACAAAGTTTGCCATCGAGAATGCTACAAAGACAGGATTGTCATTGCTGATACCAAGATTCATATACTGGGATCATTTGCCAACATCAAGATTGCCAGGGATTCTCTTTGCAACCTCATTTTAGGTTCCCCTGCTGGGAAAGTTTACTCAAAACTTAGACGTCTAAGTTACTGCTAGATTGGCAGAAAGGTTTTGATCTTTGTTATTTTGAATATGTTTTGAGGTTTTGTTCTCTGAGTAGTGGACTTTAAGAGTTACCTACAATGAACCCTTGAAGGAAATTAAAAGGAATGAAGAATATGATAGATCAACATGATAGAGTGTTCTTTAGAGATTTCATTTGAGATTAAAGTTATGATTGGGAGGCATTGAGTGATATTTTTGTAAACTACCCTTATAATGCTTCTTGTTGAATTGGTTAGGGTTACAATCAAGTTTAGAGTTCGAGTTTGGCTCAAACTTCATTGAAAACGATTCTAAAAGTTGAATTCAGCGTGAAGTAAGATTAAATTATTCGATTGTTTTTTTAATAGGGGTGATTGCTATGTAATACGCACGTACCCTACCGGAACTTCTAGTGAGAACAACACCCATTTTACCACGGAACATAGCTATGGAAAGCACCCCATAAAATCTGCTGAAACAATCAATATTTTCATTGAACTTATATCAGGTTAAAACAAAGAAAATAAAAATGGAATTGGGGAAATATGAGCAGCTCAAGTTTTCTTTGGAATTGCAATACTAAGTTTGCATAAACAGCTCCAATCAAAATGCATACCAAGTACAGAATTTATATAGTGTAAAATGTTTTGAATAACTGAAGAACAATAATATTATTTCTAAGAACAAGAAATAGAAGATCGTGTCTAGCCTCCGAAGAGAATCCCAGCAGCCTGCTCTTCATTGCCATCACATAATTTTAGAGCTTCAATCACCATTTCTCTTGCAAATCCCAGCTCAACAAGCTTTGCTACTTTGGCTTCAAAATCAGGCCTCTGTAGAAAATCAAATTGCTCTAAAATTTTAGGACAGCAGTTTAACTTGGAACATATATATGATCAGGCCTCAGAATGGAGAAATATTCTGCCAAGATGGTAGATATACCTGTGTTACATCAGCATATGCACCCCCTGGGAACAAAGAAAGAAACAATGTCAAAATTGGAATAAGAATCACTTGAAGATGACTTCCATGACACCAGTTTTCGAGCGATAAAATCATGCTCAAGGAAAACAAATTAGTGCTGTATATATGTATATAATCATATGTGTACAAACCAATTTAACAATAAACTTGGATGAATTTCTGGAATAAAAGCAACAAGAAGCATGCAATGACAACATGGGTCGGACGCCAATTACTAACCAGAAGGTTGACCTCCAGATTGCACGTTAGCATTCCTCTGTGTGGTTCCAGTGTTCGTCTGAAGAATAAAAAATACCAGTCTATAAAACCTAAAACAATTCTCCATGGCAGTTATCGAAGCCAAAAAAATAACGTAAACCATGGAACCATAGCTATGTTCCTCGCAAACATGGAAATTTTTAGATCCAAGTAATTCCTTCGTGTGACATAATTTCAAGGTAGCAGAGATCCAGAAAGTGCGTAAATTAACAGACAGGAGTAGCTCAGAAGTTGTACACATGCATCTTTTTTCGCAATGATAAACAGCAATCCATTCACAATTGAATGGAAGTCCAAATCTGCGGCAGCAGATAGAAAAAGGACTTACAGCAGCTCCTGAGCTGGATGCTTGCTTCAAATTCCTTTCTTCATCAAGGTAATGAGAAGGGATGTCCTTTTCTGAGAAGAGTAAATACATTGTTAACTTCCATTATAAGAGAAGAAATTTAGTAGAACAAAGTCACGAAAAAGACGGGCATCAATGACCACATGGTAACTGATAACAAACAAAGTTGCAGATTTTACCAATTAAAATCACCAACCTGGCAAAAATGGCACAGAAACTTCTCCTCCTCCAACTCTAAGAACATTCTCCTTCAAATCAATAATACACTGTACAAATTGCACGACTTGTAAATATCAAAACTTAAAAAATTTAAGAACTAAAATGGATGGATATGCATGGAAATCAAGTAGAGCTAAAGGTACCTGGTGTTTGCGTAGCATATCCAATCCAAAGAGAAACTCCATATTCGGAGAGTCCAAAACCACGAAGGAGCATGGATAAAACATATTTCCAATCTATGATGACATGAAACAAACAACGAAGTTGATGCATTCATATTATCGGTTATAAGTATGTTTCATAATAACAGTTATAGGCTGATAAACAACACATAGGATAAGACTACTTATCAATGTTTTCTTGTAAAAGAAGCAACCGAAAAGAAAAAATAGTAAACATAATGTTATACAAGAAATCATAATGCATCCTACCTTGATTGGAGCAACATGTATACGTCCCAGAATCTCTGACTGGCCAACCCCATGAGCAATACCTTTATATCTTTGATCTAAAAGCCTCAGCAATCTGGAGGGGTCAATACCAGCCAAGCAAGATGAACCAATATGTTTTGAAGTCATATGAAGAGACAAATATAATAACATTAACAATTAAAGAACAGAGAAGAAAACATTAAGTGAACATCATTGACCATTTTCAATAAGCCAGACAATGCCGTTAAAATTTGGGCACTCTTTTCCTCCTTCCAATGTCGTTAAAATACATTGTAGCTTAACGGTTATGAAGGGGGTTTTCAACGAGGCCTCTTTCTTATCAAAAAAAAAAAAGTGAACATCATTGACCATTTTCAATAAGCCAGACTGTCACTATGTCACTCAAACTCTTTGTTTTTCTTTAAGCACCTGTGTTCGACACTTGTGTCCAAAGCATGGATAGGGGGATACGACCTCTAAGGGCCTCCAAATACATGGGAAAAAATTAGAAAAATCTAGCCATACTCGTGTGGCGCACATAACCACGTCCAACATACACCAAAGTCCGAGTAACATAGAACATAAACTTACAAACTCCCCCATACTTTTCTCCCACATAAAAAAGGAGGAATATTTCAAGGACTAATTCAATTGTGTCATGATGACTTAAAAAGCAAAGGGATTGCTACCAATGCAAAAAAGGAGAAGGTTATGGCACATACCCACAACGCTCAGCACAGCTTTTCGAAATTATAGTTGACTGTGCACCGCTATCGACAAATGCCTGAAAGATAAAAGATAAAATGATCAATTTAATAAACTTATAAGTGTCTGATATTCAACATCAAGGTCTATGTAATACAATATTTCAGTAATGCAGAATCTCAAAACTAAAACAATATAATAAACAACTGCAACAGAATTTCTTTAAAGGTCTAATGAAAGAAAAGGATAACCACATGATGAACATTGTTCTAAGACGAAAAAGTGCATGTAAAACAAAGGGTATTATGATTGAATTTATATAGGCTGAAGTACATAACAATGACTCCTGATTACATTCAATACTAGCCATCATCTCTACCTTTAATGGGATGCCATTAACCTCCATGTCCACGTACAACATAACCTGATTAGTATGAAAAGAAACATTAAATTCTTAAGGGGAAAAAAGTAATGAAATTTAGTAGGTACACTTCACAAGGAGACAAGCCTACATACCACCCTTGCAAAACCTTCAGGATTATGTTCCAAGGCAGCAGCCCAGTTCTCATCAATCCCTTTCTGTATCACAATATTGTAAACTTTCAAATAGCCCAAAGATCATACTGACCAGAAAAATATGGGAGATGCATGAGGATAAAACCACTTTGGTCAAACCATAAATTAACATTCGACACATTTCAAATGCAAATAGGTTCAACTAATTTAGACTAGTAGAATGTTGGAGAAAACTAACCTGCCGAATGGCAGCTTCAATCTTCCTTTGTGCTTCAACATCAAAAGGATCAGCCTGAAGAAGAGCCTATGGTGCAAAATCAAATAAATGAGCATCAATCACAGAGATCATCTGGAAACTTAATATTATCATAAGTATGATTAAACTCTTTTAGAATTAATAATTGATAATCAAATTGAGATATATTGAAGCAATGCATGAAAAGGTAGTGTGTACATTGGCCACTCATAATAAACCACATACAGGAACAGACCACTAGGACAAGCTACTCACAAGTTCCTCCTCCTCTTTTTGTTGTAATTCTGATCGTTGCCGATGACGAGTACGTAGGATGTCCTGAAGTTTGTTGAGATCATTCCCAAGAATAGCTTGTGCAAGTTCAGGGTCAGCCTGAAATATTTGTCCAATTAGATTAGAATCGCTTCGAATATGTTGCTGAAAAGCTCCAGGGTTCACAGCAGATCCATCGGGATTGAAGCTCAAATCATTAGTAGATGCTCTGCAAATGATTCATGTTCTTCTCGGTCAACAAAAAACAATAAAAGATTGAGAAGCTTCTTTCCATGAAATAAAACTACAGAGAAACAGCCGTGCTAAAATCTCATAATAGGCATCCAGGTTCCTTTAAAATCCGGTAAAGGCATTCTAAAAGATCCAAACAAAAAAGAAGCAAATGAATAACCAATGGATAATTTACCTAGAACCAGCACTGGAGACCATCATAATTAAATCATCATTCTTAACACCCAAAGCACTCAATTTCTCAGAATTCTGCATTTCTCTCCCATGATAAAGAAGTTGCTGCTGCTGTAATGACACATTTGTCTGGCATAAACCCAAACAAGTTCAAACCAATCAGTATAAGCTTAGCATCACACTCAACTCTCAAAACTCCAATACATGAAAAAAAAATAGAACTTTTATCCAGTAACATATATAAGCAAATGAAAGTCAACAGTTCATTTTCAAAAACCCTAAACCCTTAGCGGTTGTCCCAAATAATCCCAAAAAGGAAGCATATAAACCAAAGGGTATATCATGGACCTCCACTTCCAGCAAAGCTTTCAAATTTTCAACCTATCAGAAACAAAACAAAACAGAAAGAAAGAAAAATCAGAGAAGAAACAGAGATTTAGGATAAGCATAAAGAAGGGAGAAAGGGAACTTAACAGTTTCATGAGGATCAACGTCTAAGCTGACGATCTGTTCATCTGCCGTCATTACAATAATTCTCATCCCTGCCCTTTGTTTTCGATCTTCTTTCCTCTGTTGGGTTTATTTTGTGTAATGCAAGGAAGGGTGTGGATATCCTCCCATCCTCATATTTATCGAATATTTTTAAATTCATCACCAGTCCACCATCAATGATAGGTAAAAACATTTAAATCTACACCCGTCCACGCGGTATATTCTTAAATTCATTCACACACCTATTATCCAACTGGAAACGTACCCGTCTATACTTACCTTACAACAACCTTAAGTTATACATAAACAACAAACACGTCTATTAAGAAATATAATAAAATAAACCAATGATTATTTGAACTGAGTATTAACATATATCTTAAAGTACATAAAACACTATAATAAAAGACATAATTAAAGCCTATAATATTTTTGTTCTTTGGCACATATAAATGACAAACCCTAAAATTATACCTAAATTTATAATGATAAAAATTTAATGGGTATTTAATGGGCAGGCGGATGTGGAACGAGCGGATGCGGGGCAGGTAAGGTCTTAAACCCATCACCCGCCCACTACCCACGACGGGTACCACTTTCTAAATCAACATCCTCCTACTACCCACTAAAATTATATCTATCTCCGCCCCAATTAGAACAAGTATGATACAAAATCCACGAAATTATACTCATTTACCATCCCTATTTATCATAACAAAGTTTGTGTTTTATTCCATGGTTTTTAGAACCGGACCGGTTAGCGAACTGGTCATGCTACCGGTTCATTGGTTCAACCGATCAAACCGATTTAATCGGTCGAAAGAACCAGACGACGTCATAATTATTTAAAAAATTAAATAAAAATACCAAAAATATTTAATAAAAATACTTTTGTATATCACAAGTCATATTCAAAGCAAGTCATAACATATATAAGTTAAAAATCATAAAATCAAGTGAAACAAAATGATTTAAATTAACTACAACATAATATTTAAGGTAAAGCATATTAAATAATAAATATAATTATATAACTATAATTAAAAAATAATTTTGGGGCTAAAAAATATAATAAAATGATATATTTTTGTTTAATTTAAAAAAAATAATTTCATATGGCTAAAAAACATAGAAGAACATCCCAAAAGTCTAAATAGTAAAAATATGAGAATAAAACAATCTCACATTGCTAAGAAACATAGAAGAGCATCCCAACTAATTTCTATAAATAATAGAGGTAATTTGACATCCAAAATCATAGAGCCTTTTGGTGAGCATAGAGTGAACTATTCTTTCACTTCAATCAAGCTCGAATTTTAGGCTTCAATCGAGCTTCTAAATTTTGTTTGAGTTAAGTCTTTTCGAGTTCAAGTTTCAATATTATATTTCGAGTTCGAGTTGAACTTGATAATTTTTAGTTCGTGAGTTTGAGTCGAGTTGAGCTTACTTTTAAAGTTTGAGTCGAGCTCAGCAATACTCGAGTTCGACTTGGCTCGTTTAACAAACGACGTCGTTTGGTTTAAATTTTTTTTAAAACAAAATTGGCGGTTTTTTCCGATTTTCAGCCGATCCGGTTCGAACGGTTCAACGATTCCGTTCGATTCACTAGTAGCGATTCAACCGATTTAATTTAAACCAAACTAGTCAACGATTTCCGTTTGAACAGGTTGAACCGACCGATCCGATCCGATTTTCATACTTGGGAAAGGGATTAAAACTATTGTACGGAGTTCAACGTTTGTTTATAATTCGCACTGTTTGTTAGAATTAAATAGGCCCAACTCCCAAGGTTTAATCTAAGCTAGCCCATCCCAATAAGCTCAACTTCCTCAAAACAATTACAATTTTTTTTAGTAAACTACACATTTAATACCTAAATTATTAATTTTAGTCTGTTTAGAACTTAAACTATCAATTATTTTAAAATCATACCTAAAGTTTAGTATTTATTTCATTTTAGTACTCGTTCAAAATTTAACGTTAAGTTTTAAAAAAGATTGAAAGTTTAGGTACTAAAATGAATCAAAAATGTTAGTTTAAGTACTAAACGTGTTAAGTTTTTAACAACAGAGATACTAAAATGAAACAAAAATTAAATGTTAGATATGCTTTTTAAAAAAATAAAAATTTAAGTATTAAATCGAGTTTAGGTGCCAAAAGTGTAGTTTACTTTTTTGTTTTAAGTAAATCGATTTGGTTTTCGGTAGGGATTGTCATTTGACTTGAGTTGGACCGATCATAGTTTTTTTAGCAATTAGAAATTTTGATTTTTTTTTATTTTGAGAAAAGTAAAAGGTAATTATATTTGATGTCGCATATCAAGTCATTATTGGATGACTGGTTTATTTTTAACAGATATTGACGATTTGAATTTAAAATGGTAAAAAATATTAAAAAAGTATATGCTTATTTTAACCCCAAAAAAATCAAACACCCGAATAAAAAATAATTTAAACGCTTAATTTTGAATCAAATCTTTTAAATCTAACACTTAATTCAAGTTGTAAACTTATTATAGTCATTTCGAATGAATTTTTTTTCTGATTTAAATTATTGATCTATTATGATCCTATGAAATTGAGTAATGTTCACCATGTTTATAAGAAATAAAAAAGGGAGAAATTACGCATTTAGTACCTGAAGACACCGAATTTCGTCCATTGATATTATATAATATATTTTTTATTATTTACAAACTATATTATATATATATATGTACATTTATTTTATTTTATGAAGGGGTCCATTACAAAGGAATATGGCCCAAAGCCATTACAAATAAAATCAGCCCGTATTCAGCAGCCCACGTGTGCAGCCTACCACGCGGATCCAATGCTCAACTATCCAGCATGCACACGACCCATTTCCAGGAATACACGACCCGAGAGTGGCAACCTGGATCCAACAAACCAGTTCAGACCCGATGCAAGCTAGGGTTTCTAAATCCTAGCCCGCTCCTCACCAGCGCCGCAACAAGCTCCCCGAGGACCCCTCGCCACTCACGCATCTCCCTCCGATCGTTTCGCGCAGCACACCTTCATCTCCGAAGCATTCGGCGCAAGCAAAACAACCACCAAACATCAAGTGTATTAGTCCAAGTGAAACACTGAAGATTCGAAACTAAAAATAGCATTATTTTGTACTATAAATACCCATGTAATCTCACATTCAAAGGACACAACGTACACGATTACTAGAGGCACAAATCCACAAAGAAACATCACGAAAATCCTAGATATTTTGTAACGAATTTTCGAAGCAAATAAAGGTATTATTTTCTTTTTACCTTCGATCTGGCGTGTTTTTGGCTTGCATGTGGCTCTTCTCGATTTTATTATGTCGTTCTTGATTTGAAAAACACAAAAAAAAACACTTTTTTGGTCGATGAACGAGGAGGGCCTTCGAGATCTATTTTCTTAGATCTAGCCCTCCCGAGGCCCATTTTAAGGAAATGAATTCGGTTTTAGAAAAGATGATAAAGAAGGCTATTTGAAAACGCCTTTTTTTAGGGGGCCACCGTCGATGAACGGCAGCCGGTGCTGGTATACGGCGGTCGGCGAGGCGGTGTCCGATTTTCTGGGTTTTGCTGCGGCGATGTTCATCACTCGTGAAGAACACCCACAAACTGAGGGAGAGAATTGGTTAAAAGGGGGTGCTTTCGTGTGAGGAGAAAGGAAATGAGAGATTAAATTTTTTTTTGACATTTATAGTAAACCCGAACCGACCCGTGACCCGAGCGGATCCCCACCCTTGGGGATCCGCGTATTTTTGAAACAAATAGGGTAAACTACCTTTTTGGTCTCTCTTGTTTTAAAAGCCTGTTATTTTGATCCCAAATTCGATTTTAAAACCTGATTCCTTATTAATTTGGCCCTCAATTTTACTTTTATTTTAATTTAGTCCTTCATCCTTTATATTTCATTTTTTCCTATTAAATATTATTTTCGATTTTCTCTAATATTTTAATTTTATATACATATATATATATCCATTATTGTTTTTTCTTACTTATGTTTATTTATTTTTCTATTTTTAATAATATATTTAATTATTATATATATTTTTTGTTCTTTTTTGTGTCACTATCTTTTATTATTATTATTTCTATTTATTATTTATTTTACTTTTTTTCCTTAGCATTTTATTTTTATGCACATTCATTTTATTTACTTGCTTATTTTTCTTTTTTTGTTTCTTTTTATCATTTATTTTTATCTTGCATTTATATATATATATATATATGTTACCATTATGGTCTTTACTTTCTTTATTTTATTTATTTATATTGTTTCTCCTTTTACTTTTCTTTATTTCACTTTATTTGTCTTGTTTATTTTTTATTTTTTTGCTTTATTTTTTATGTTCTACATTTTATTTTATTTTCCTATTCATTTTTTAACGTCTTCATTTTTTAAGATGTATTTCAATCGATCGGAGGTAAGTTTTTATCGTTATTTTACCTTTTAATTTAAACTTTCAATTTTCTAATTAAAGACAACTAGAAATTACGTAGTACCGAAAGGGCAGTTCAAGGGTGCTAACCCTTCCTTGACTGTAACCGACTCCCGAATCTGACACATCTCTGGTAAAACGTAAACCAGGTAAGATGGTATCCGATCAACCCTTTTGTTTTAAAATAAATGATCAGTGACAACTCCAAATCATTTTTCCTAAGTCGAAGCCCAATTCCGGGGGTCCACCCGAAAGACGGTTCCTACAGCTTGGCGACTCCGCTGGGGCACAGGTAAGTGAGTCAGGCTAAGGTAATTTCCAGTTTTCTTTTTAATAAAAAGGGTAAGTTTAAATTTTAAGGTAATATTCTGATCCTTATTACTTACTTTTGATTATTTGTTTTCAAATAAATAGTTGTACTAATGGTTTTTTCAGTGATTTCAGCCTTCAAAACTATTTTTCCATCTAAGACTCTATACCTGAGCTCTAAACCCTATTTTAAGTGGTGGTGAAAGTGATGCTCTCGTGAGAATTTATTATCCGTATGGGCCTAGCAAGTAACCTTCATGATTCATATACCTTATGCTTTCGTGTGAATTTATTCTCTGTATGGGCATAAGGGAATGTTTCCTCTCGAGTTTAACTTAGTCCACA